CACCCTCAGGCGGCAGCAGCCCCCTCACCCCACAGCCGCCAGCGGGGCCTTTACCCAAGCAAGCGCCTCTTTATTTTTAAATAAATCCACAATCCCCTTAAGAACGATAATTCCTTCCCCAGCCCTCAAAAATTAGAGCCCCTCCACCATGCTCCCCAGTCCCAGAGGATGCCCTTGAGAAGTCTCAGCAGCCTGATAGGGATTTTGAGGAGAAGACTGATGATTTAAAACACATTTCACCTGCACTGCTTCACAGCTGTGTGACTGAACATGCACATGCTTTGGATGCACCTTGGGTTTGGGCATCTTTTGTTGGTACCACGCATTTTTATGAATAACACTGGATGTAAATCAGCCCTTCCACAGGTTTCCAGGGATATTACAACTGGTTGGGTTGTACAAAAAAAAAAAGGCTTTATCCCATGGTGGTGTCTCAAGCTGAAGCGCTGCAGAGATGCTCTCCTCACGGGGTTTGGCTTTTGCAAGGAAACCCTCAACCCCAGATAAACTCTTATTTTGCCTCCTCCCTCCCAGCTCTGCATTCCTCAGCAATCCTCAAATGAAATAAGGATGCTTAATCCCAGGTTAATTGCCATCCTAACTTCATCAGCTCCTACATGGGAACCAACTCTACCAAATTATTAAAAAAATTGTTGTCCCAGCCCTACCAAGCAAGCAGTAAAGCCACCAGAAAACTCCAAGCTATCAGGATTGCTGGGAAACAAGCCACAGGCACAGGGAGCAAGCAGGAAATTAAACAAATGCCATGAGAGAAAGCACAAGGGAGATGGCCCCATCACACTAGCTCGAGATGAAAAACCACTTTGTGCAAGCAGGACACAACCATGGAGAGGTCTGGTGGGGAATTTAAGGGATTGTCCCTCAGGTGAGCAGAACAGGGAGAGCCAGGGCAACAGGAAAAAAAACCACAAAAGCATTTTGCAGAAAAAAAAAACCCTTGAGGGACTTGCTGTCACAGGTTACAAAAGCACCGGCACAAAGCTGGGAACTGGTGGTGAAAGGAAAAGAGCTAGGAGGATTTGCAACAGAGCTGGGAAGGAAGGCTTCAGAAGGATAGAAAAAGGTACTCACCAGGGGTTAGGGAGCCTGTGACATTCTGGTGAAGGTTTTGGGGGGCCTCTAGGGGTCCCTTCCAACCCAAAACATTCTATGATCATGGAGGTGAAGAAGTCATGAGGATGCTGGGCAGCAGGATTTTGGGATGGGTCTAAATGGGATTGGTGGAATTTTATGAGATTAGTAAAAATGGACAGGGGAATCGCAGGCAGGAAGGGGGCTAAGGATCCCACATACATGGGGGAGCTGGTCTCCATCAGGAACAGGGTCAGAGCAAGCCAGCTAGCATTGCCATAAGCTTAACATATACACAGTGCTGTACTCCACAACCCCGTGGAGCAGCAAAGACCACCCATCCACCTAAGAGAAGGTGTGCCAGGACCTAGGGTGGGCAACAACCTTATCATCTGGGTGCAGCCCCACAGCCAGGCAAGCAGAGCACAGTGGTGGCAGCAGTGGGGCCCATCAACAGTCTAGGTATTACCAGGAAAAAGCAGAGGACAAAGTTTAGTCCAAGATCAATCTGGGAGAGCCTAGAAGGAGATACACCTATGGGACAGGTCAGAAAAAATAGAGCTGCCCAGACCTGAGCTTAAATGGAGCTCCTGGAGCAATGGGTCGTGGGTGGAGGTCCCAGGTGAGGCTGATTGGGGCAATTAAAGCCTGTTGGTGCCTTCACATTCCTGACAATCCTCACCTGTCCCTTGTTTTCCTTATGGAGAGGTGGGCAGGACCCCAGTTAATCACAATGGCACATTCCAGCCTGCTTCCTCGTGGTTCTTCTGACTTCAGTGCCATTGCTCCAGGATGTTGGCTCTTGTCTATCTCTGTCCACGTTGCATGGCAAGAATGGGCATGGAGGAGAATGCCTATGTTCCACCCTGCGTCAGACCTCTGGGAAAACGGCCCCCATCATTCTTCATGTTCAGGTTTTCCTCTGCTCATCTCAAGGCTGCTGCTGGTCTACAGGCAGCTTCTGTGGTCGTGAGTGGGGCTTGTTGCCTTTCCCTATGCAAACCTCTGAAGTACCAGCTGTTGCCACCGCTTTTCTGACAACACTGATTGATTCCAGTATCCCTGGACTTTTCCTTGAGTAGCTTCACTGTACTAAAATTGCAAGGGAAGGAAAAAAAAACCCAAAACAAAACCCCCAAGGGAGTTTGTTGCTGTGTTGCATCAGGCAACGTCAGCAGCATCAGCAGGGCTGTGCTTCCCTGCATGTGAGACTGAAATGTGGAAGTGCCCTGGCCTGCAGTGAATCCTTATTTTGGTCTGGGGAGGGTGACGTGTTCACCACACTTATGTAAAGCGTTGTGATCATAGCTTTCAGTTTAACTACTCCAGCCTTTCTATGGATTCTGTTGTTGCTATTTTAGGGGACCTGATGTCTCTGGAGAATGACTCAGAGAAGTTCGTCTGTAGCTGGCCAGCATTAATCTAGACTAACAGTCTGATTCGTGAATGCATCTTTATGTAAGAAAACTACTTAAGCATGTGCTTAACTTTGGAGCTCGGCTAAAAGAAACCGCTTTACCGGTGTCCTGCATCAGGCGCAGAGCAGCAGTAGCCAGAGGTTGCTGATGCTCTTCAGCAGCTCTTCAATAGACCAGTTCATGATCTCGGAGCGTATTTCCAGGGGGATAGATCCCCACAGCAAGGTTGGCCCACCATACTCCACTCGCCCTAACGCAGATCACCAGCCCCGCAGCAGGGATGCACCGTCTCAGAGGCACTTTAATATCGGCGCACAGGGGTAAGCTGTGTGCTGAAAACATCAGTCGGGTGGTTGCAGAAGTACCTGCAAACCCCTCTTGTCATCTCTTTGACTGCAAGAGCTGGAAGCTAAGTTGCCGGGGGGACTCTGCAGAAAACTGTGCTGCACCAGGGCTCTGCTGGATTACCTGCTTACTACTAATAATTAACTTGGTAGAAATCCAAATTCATTGTTCTGACACAAATTGTTATAAAATCAGGCCGGTGCCACACTTAGGTCTTTCTGGTTTGTTTGCCTTTGCGGCATGAGGGTGGCCTTTGGGCTGTCAGTGCAGTTTCTTGTTCCACAGTGGGTTTTTTTAAGGTATAAACCCATTTATTATGCTGCCTAATTCCCTGTAATGTTGGCTGCATCTGCATTTAAACAGGAGGGTGTTTTGCATGCAGATTCCTCCGCTGATGAGAAGCATATGAGCCGTTCAAGGAAACCTTCATAGAGCACTCCCATGAGTTTCCTCTTTGTTTTCATCCTTAAGACAAATGCTGTCTAAGCACACTCGCTCCTGAAGGAAGCCAGCTCCCAGGTCAAGGGACCTGCTGGTGGTGTGGCTGGAGGAGGGCTTTGGAAAACACCATTCATATTCTGGAAATGCCTGCAACTGCCTGTAGACCTCTGACTTGAATTTTGACATCTCAGAAGCTTCCTGGGCAAACTTAATCTCTCCATTTGCTTGTTTAGCTCCCCTTTCATCCTTGGTAAAATAATGACGGAATTTGGATTGCAACCAGGAGGGTTGCAACTGTGCAGCTGTTGAAGTGACCTTACTTGTGGTGGTGGGCTGGGGGGAGTAAGGGTCGACATGTGCTGGGTCTTTGCAGGTGTAGACCCTCTGGTTGCATATCTCCATGTTTTGGGGCTGATACTGTTCAGCAAGGTGTCACGCAAGCACTGGTAGGGAGCAAGCCATCTGCATGAGTTGGTGCTTATGTATCTGCTGTTCCAGCTCCTGGCCACTCCATGCAGATGGAGCGTATGCTCCGCTGGAGGTGGGATGACAAGGACATATTTCCTCCTTCAGGGTGACATCGCTTTTAACTCCCCTGAAGTTTGTGTGGACGTGGGTGCACCAAGCAGCAGCGGCAGCCTCACTGTGCTGTGACCTGAGCTGGGGCTTTCTACCAAAACCAAGCTGAATGTCATAGGAGATCATGTGAGTCTCCCAGCCTCTCCCCCTTCCTCTGCCAGAGATACACATACCTGAGGCGGTGATGGGGAGGAAGCAATGTCCCTCTGAGCCTCAGTGCTGTGGACTGTGAGCTGGAAGAGGCCAAGGTACCAGCACCCATTTTATTGAGCAGAGGGGTGCTCGCATTGAAACACCCAGCAAAAGCTAGGAGAGACGATTGATGGAGCTTTAGCACATGCACAAAGAGGATCCTAAACAAGAGATGACCCTAAATCCATGTCCAGGGTGTTTTCACCAGCCAGACCCTTCATTAACAGCTCAGCTCATGGGGAACACCCATGCTTTCGGAGGCTGAAGCGGGCTGGCATATGGCATGCTGCTTTCAGAGCCACAAGCACATCTCCCAGCGCTTCTCAATGCACGGGGTGACTCGTTCTCATATCTCTACGTTTCCACCTTGACCCACTGTGTGTCATGCAAGAAGCTGCCATCAAGCAGTTTAGTGGACGCACGTGGTAAATGAATTTCTCAGCATGGGTGGAGTTGAGCAGAAGGGACCTCTTAATGGGAGAGAACATCTAAGGGGAGCAAGG